GCAACTATGAAACTACAACAGCTGAGAACAACACCAACGCTACAAGTAGAAGGGGAAAATATCCTCGTTATCAGCATTGTGGCAAAAAGAATCATCCATATTACAAGTGTTGGAGAAAGCCAGATCTGAGATGTAGAAAATGTCAAAAACTTGGGCATGCAAAATTATTTATGAGGAAAAGGAGACGCAGCAGCAGGGAGATGCCCAAGTTGCAGATTAACAAGAAGCAGAACAACTCTTTGTTGCATCTTGTTTTGCATCCAGCATTTCAAGTGATACTTGATTCATTGATAGTGGTTGTACAAACCACATGACTAGTGATGAAAGTCTCTTTAGAGAGCTTGATAAATCAGCAACATCAAGAGTCAGAATTGGAAATGGAGAATACATCTCAATTAAAGGGAAGGGGACTGTTGCTGAAATTGATCAAAATTTCAATTTATGAGGTTTTGTATATTCTTGAACTTGATCAAAATTTAGTCAGTATTGGACAATTGCTAGAAAAAAGGTTCTAACTTTTATTTGAAAATAAAATGTGTCAAATCATTGATCCAAATGGTCAAGAATTATTCAAAATTAAGATATAGGGTTCTTTGAATCCATTAAAGGAGGAGCAAGTGGCATTTCCTAGTCAACTCATCAATGTTGAAATATGGCACAAGAGGCTGAAACACTTTCATCACAAAGCTTTGTTGTTTATGCAAAGAAAATAAATGGTAAAAGGACTGCCAAACTTGGAGGAGCATCTTTCAAGCTGTAAGACTTGTCTATTTGGCAAGCAAATCAGACTTCCATTCAAAACATCTACTTGGAGAGTTACAGAGAAGTTGCAGCTGATCCATATTGATGTTTGTGGACTACAGAACTCACTAAATGGCAACAAGTATTATATAGTTTTTATTGATGATCTAACAAAAAATGTGTTAGATTTATATTATGAAGATCAAGTCAGAATTTTCTTGGAGTTCAAAAATTGGATTGAAAACCAAAGTAGCTGTAAGACTCAAGTAATCAGATAAGATAATAGAACTAAATACATATCAAACAAATTCAATTCCTTTTGTGAAGAAGCTGGAATTGAGCACTAACTCGCTGTCCCTTACTCTCCACAACAAAATGGGGTTAGTGAGAGGAAGAATAAGACAATCATGGAGATGACTAGATGCTTGCTGCATGATAAGAATTTACCAAAGAAATTCTGGGCAAAAACGGCAAATACTACTGTTTTCTTACTGATTAGACTGCCTACAAGAGTAATGGAAATGAAGACTCCATTTGAGGCTGGCATGGTGTTAAACCTATTTTAAAAAAATCTCAAAAATATTTGGATGTCTTTATTTTTCTTATATTCCACAGATTAAAAGAGACAAACTTGATGAGAAGGCGAACTTGGGATATTCATTGACTACAGTTTGATTTCCAAAGCTTACAAAATTTTTCAACCTAGGAAAGATTGAGATAAGCAGAGATGTTCAATTCCTTGAACATGATCAATGGGACTGGAATGAGAAGTCTCAAGTCAAACATTAAATCTTGCAACTGGATCTAGATGAATTAGAACAACTTGTAAGGGGAATAAGATCACTTTCAGATATTTATTAAAGATATAATGTTGTTGTTTTTGAGCCTGCAGGATATGATGAAGCAAAAGCAGATAAAAAATAAATAGATGCAATGAAGGAGGAGTTGGCCATGATAAAAAGGAACTAGACTCGGAAGCTAGTGGAGAGGCCTCAAGATAGAAAGATAACTGGGGTTAAATGGATATTCAGGACAAAACTGAATCCTGATGGCTCAGAAAACAAACACAAAGCAAAACTGGTTGTGAAAGGTTATGCACAAGTTTGGGGTATAGATTTTTCTGAAATATTTTTCTAGTAGCCAGATTGGATACAATTAGAATGCTTTTGGCTTTAGCAGTACAAAAGGGATAGAAGATCCTTTAAATGGATTTGAAGTCTACGTTCTTGAATGGTTTACTATAAGAAGAAATTTATGTTAAATAGCCACAAGGTTTCAGTGTACCAGGACATGAAGAGAAGGTCTATTTATTGAAGAAAACTCTCTATGGACTGAAGCAAGCTACTAGAGCTTGGTACAGTAGAATAGATGAACATTTTCTCAACTTAGACTTTGAAAAAAACTTTAGTGAATCACCTTTTTATATCAAGAAAGTGTAAGGATCTGAATGCAAATAAAGAAGAATAGACTAGGAAGTATAAGATCTGCTGGGGTGCAAGAAAAAAACTATGAAAATGTCTGCAGGAAATCCAAACCCGAGAGGTCTTTAATCTTCATCCAATGAATTTAAAAATTTCCTCTACAACCCTTAGACTTCTATGGAATATTGGCTATTTATTTACTTGTTCATCCATCTGTTTTTTCTATATAAATTACTTATTTTTATTTATTATAATTAATAAATGAATGAAATATTTTGAATATAGTATTATTATCTCCTTCAAATTTTTACCTATCTCTCTCAATATTTATCTTTTCTCTCCGATTTTCTATCTATTGCTCTTGATATTCTTACTCTTATCTTTCTCAAATCCTTCTATTTCTCCTCTCACTCTTCCTCTCTTTCCCTCAAATCTGAATACATACTTTCTTAAAGTAGAACCATGTACTCGGGTCATGACAGAAAGTTGGCTCTAACATAGTTATCATTTCTCTTTGTGGATGATTTACTTGTGAACGAAAATAATGTTGTGCAAATTGAAGAATTCAAGAAGGAGATGATGAAGATCTTTGAGATGATAGACCTTGGAGAGAGAACTTATTTTCTGGGCATGGAGATTAAACAAATGCAGAATGAAGTCTTCATTTGTCAAAAGAACTATCTGAAAGAAATTCTAAGAAGGTTTAAAATAGAAGAATGCAAGAGTGTAAGGACTCCAATGAATCAAAAGGAGAAGCTGCATAAAGAAGATGGAGTTGAACTTATTTATGAAGGATTATACAGAAGTTTAATTAGATGTATGGTGTATCTCACAGCAAGGAGGCCAGATATCTTGTTTCCTATGAGTGTTTTATCCAGATTTTTCAGTTGTGCTAGTGAGTTGCATATGATGGCTGCTAAAAGGGTGGTTAGTTATCTCAAATGAACTTTAGCCTGTGACCTCAAATTTATGACATATTTTGACACTGAGTTGGGCTAAGATCAAGTGATGATATGAGAAGTGCTTTTGGTTACTGTTTCACTTTTGGATCAACTGCTGAAGCAGAATTTGTAGCAGCAGCAGCTGCTGTTAATCAAGCATTATGGCTAAGACAAATTATGATGGATTTGCAGCTGGAGCAAGAAGAATATACTGAGATTTTTGTAGAAAATCAAGCTGCCATAGTTATACCCCAAAATCCAGTGTGTCATAGAATAACTAAACATTTCAATATCAAGTTTTATTTTTTGAGGGAAGAGCAGAAAAACGGTGAAATGATGTTAGTTTACTTCAAAACAGAAAATCAAGTACCCAATATTTTTACCAAGTCATTTCATGTTAACAGTTTGAATTTCTCAGAGCAAAATTAAGAGTTTGCAGCTCCTGATCCAGGAAGAGATGTTGATTATCTCAGGAGCTGTTTGAAATTTCTGTTGAAGTTTAGTCCTAACCTTTAGCAAATTATTAGGAGATTTGATTTTTTCTTTTTGTTGCCAAAAATAGCTATCAGCTTGTTGCTATTCTCCAGCAATATTAGCATATTTTTTTGCCATTTCTTTTATGTTCAGTTTTGCTGTACTTATATATATTTGAAGCTGGAATTCAATAAAAATTCAGACTTTCCAAACAACTTTTCTGCCTTTGCTAATTTACAAATTAACCCATCTAAAGCCAATGAATTTTTTCTTATCTCTATCTGACTTCTTTGGTTATCTGCCTCATGATTCTGGTTGATAACTCTATTTTTTTTCTTGGAACTAAGATTATGTAAAGTGTAGATGATGATGGGTCAGAATCATGAGGCAGATAACCAAAGAAGATATGAGTGAAGAAGATGCAGACCATTTTCTGCTGACTGGAGTAAACAGTGATGTCGCACTTCTACAAGACAAGCCAGTAAAGTTAGCAAGGGAACAAGCGTGAAATTGTCCTCGTAGGTGCCTATTTTCTGTCTTGGGCCTTTGTGTCATTCTTATTTAGTATATGATCTCAGAGTGTGTTGGTGAATATTGCTGCTCTTCATAACCCATGTGCTGGAGCAATGATAATGCCCGAGAATTGTCTGTTGACCGTAATTTTTTTAAAAAGAAAATGTAAAATCATGCTTTGGTTTATTCTGTATTCCATGTAAATGGTTCATAGATTGTAAGATTCATTGCATTAACCTTCAGTAATGAAATGTTGGTAGATTATGTTGATTTGGAAATGATTGTGTCTTGTCTATATTTCATCTTCTTATGGATGTCTAAGGTCAAACACAGATGTTTTAAGATTTTGTCAAATCAGTATAATTTTCTGTCAGCTCCTTCTCCGACTTAAGATTTTGATCATGTTTATTTGTTAGCTTAGCGTGGGAAAGATATTGACTGAAGGAATGATGCTACTCCTTGGTGTACCTGTAGCATATAGTCTAGCAGTTTTGATACAATCAAATATTTAGTATACTTTAACTTTTGTTTTCCGTAATTTTAGTGTCTTGGAGTTCGGTAATTTTATGACGTTTTCGAGTAATTTAGTAACTTTGTTTAATAATTATTCATATTGTGTTAGAATGAGGTGCTAGATTATTGTGGAATTAAAAAGGATTCCAAGAAACATTCAACAATATTTTGTAGTAATTTAGCAGTTAGTGTATATCAACAACTCTAACATGTCATCAAGACTTTGAATCATTCTCCTCTTTCTCATCACAAAATTACAAAAAACTGCTTGGACCCAGTTTATTTCAATTATACTTATGATAAAGTCAAATTAGATCAATTATATTCTATATATTGCATATGAGATAGGCGACCTGACCAGAGCATCTCTAAATTCTAAGCTCCAAAAGGAGAATAGATGGAAATTAAACACTGCTGCCATGAGCATCCATTGATCCTCTCTGAAACACAATGTGACAACATAGTTTGTGATGGATGTTTTAAAGACTTCTCAGGTCAAACTTACAGTTGTAATCAGTGCAGTTTTTTCCTTCATAGATCCTGCTCCCAGCTTCCATCAGAGATTAAATGCTTCCTTCATCGATGTTCTCTTACTCTGCAACTAGGATCCCATGGCAAGGATATTATTAATTGCTATGGCTGCCGGAAAATTCACAAGGGCTTCTACTACCATTGTCGCCCGTGCCAATTCACTCTCGGTGCTGAATGTGCCCTGCAACCACCTCTCATACCTGCTGAATGTGCCCTGCAACCCCAACCCGGGCCTGATGATCCACTGCAGATTCTTCATTTTTGCCATGAGCATCCACTAGCACTTATCCAGAATTTTTTTAATCAAATTGGTTGCGAGGTATGTAGACTTCCCTGCTCAGATATGGAAAGCTGGGGTTGCGAAGAATGCAACATGTTCTTTCATAACTCTTGCATAGACAAGTTACCGCAAAAGCTGCATCACTTTTTCCATCCATGTCTTCTTGTTCTGGTCTCAACCATGTCTGATTTCACTTGCTCTGTTTGTCATAATCCACACTCCGGTTTGAGATTCAGATGTGGGGATTGTGAGTTCAACCTGGATGTTGAATGTGCTTTGCTATCAACCATGAAAGACCAAGGGGTAGAGCAGATAGAGCATTTTAGCCATGGACATCCCCTGAAATTCCATAACAGTGTTGAGGAATATGGCAGAGCAAGAGGATTTTTTCCTGCCTGCAGTGTTTGTGGTCTGGAATTCGATTCGGGTTCTTTCTATTTTTGTGAGAGATGCCACTTTTATATGCATAACACCTGTCATGAATTTGCAATAGCAGGGAAAATATCATGTTCTAAATTGCCAAGACAAATCAAGCATCCATCTCATCCTATCCACCCTCTTACTATCCAAGTCCTTACCAATTATATTTCATCGCCTATGTGGCCTCCACTTTGTGCTGTTTGTGAGGAAGAGACAAGAGGCTTCTTCTACGGCTGCTCCACATGTCGGCTTTCTCTGCACATTGGATGTGCTACCTTAAAGCCATCTGTTAAATTTGGTGATCATGGCCACCTGCTAATTTTGTTTCAGGACACAAGAATGCAACGCTTCTGTGAAATTTGTAGGAGGCAATGCAATGGATTCCACCTCCTGTGTGTTGAGTGCCGGATCAATTTCCATCTTCACTGTCATCCCTCAATGCCTCGTATCATTAAACACAGATGTCATGTGGATCCTTTGAGTTTCACTGAACTGCCTGTCCCCGATGATTTGAAGCCTGATGATGAATTTTACTGTGATGTATGTGAGAGTTTAAGAGACCCAAAGGACCCTGTATATTACTGTGCGGAATGTGATTTTGTTGCTCATGTTGACTGTGTCATTTCAGAGGTATGCTGTTCATCTTTGTGATACTATAACCATAATCTTTGTAGTATAATATATACACATTTATATTGATATCCAGAAAATTCAGGTAGCCAGATGAAAAATTCTGATAATTTCAAGCCTTGGTGAAGGAATTTTGTGTATAATTTCTATATAATAGGTAAAATATTGTTATAATTTTGAACAATAAACTATATCCCATATATATACTTTATAACCTTGTAATCTATATATTTTTCCTTCTGAAGCAGCATCTCCGAATATGCATAAATCCTTTTCTTTTTTTATCTTTTTCCCCGAAAAAATATTTTTGATTCAGGTGTTGCCCCAAATCATGGAGAATGCAAGTGCTACCGAGGAGATGGGAGATCACATTCTTGCAGGACTGGACAAAGAGACCTGGCAATTTCGAGCATGGGAAGAGGGAAAAAAGAAGCTTTTAAAGTCCATGGAAGATGAAAGACAATATCTTGAAGAGAAAAAAAGAGTAATAGAAGAAGAACTAGTGTGGAATGCACTATTTGCAGAGATAATAAACCAATATATAGAGTATCAAACAAGAAATTTGAAGGAACTTGAGGATGAACGTCGAAAACACATTACATCTACGGCATCAAGTGTGAAGAACAAACGTCCAGTGACACAGGAGTCTGGTGGGAAGAAAGACTTAAATTCATCTCAGAGTCTGCGACAAGCTGACCCCAGATTAAGGATTTTGGTTGATCTATATAGAGCTGCCGCCATAGAAGAAATAAAAGCTTTGCAGAATTTCATGAAAGGAAATTCATAGGTACTATGAATGTTTCATTCATAAATTGTGTTTGGCGACCAACCATTGACATGAAAATAATGTCTTTGCCGAAAGATTGTTTTTGTTTTAAGTTATATTGAAGGGTTGAGAATTTTGCTATCAACCAAAGGAGATTTATTTTATTTAAGCTTATGTTTTATATCATTTGGTTTTTAAATTGTAGTGAGCTTGTGTTAATGTATAATGTTGTTTTGGTATGTCTAAGCTTGCACAAGAGAGTAACAAAAATATCTTTTCTATTTTTAGTATCATAGAAGCTGTCTAGTACAACAGATTATGTCCACTTTTAAGATGATGAATGAAGCAGCAAAAGTTAGTTTTTTGCCTCAAACTCTTTTCTTCTTCCACAGTTTTTCTTTGGTTTTATCATTTGCATTTCTAGCCAGTGGTATCAAAGCTTCTAATGAAAAAGGAAAAAAAACCTTTTGATGAAAAAGTACTATATTTTTTATTATATGAACTGATACAGAATACATGTATGTATAGAAAATAGTTGAGTTGAAAAAGGAAGCAATCACGTCGATTATGTCTATAGCTACGCATTTACAATTGAAATCATTAACTTACGAATTAGCCATAGCTATCACTAAACTAAGAAACATATAACAATTAACAGTGACATATATTCATAGAATATTTTTCAATACTCCCCCTCAAGCAGGATCCAAAATATTGATGGATCTAAACTTGCTCAAGAGTAAGTGAAATTGAGTAGATGACAAAACTTTGGTGAACACATCTACAAGTTTGGTCACTAGTTCTAACATAATGAGTATTAATAACCTTAAACTGAACTTGTTAACGAATGTAATAACAATTCACTTTAATATTTTTATCTTTCATGGAACACATGGTTAATTATAATATGCATGACAGTCTGACTATCACAAAAAAGTATCACTGGAGTAATAATCGGGCAACTCATGTTGGCAAGAAGACTTTTAAATCATACAAGCTCATATCTACTGTTGCTATAGCACGATACTCAGATTTGGTGCTAGAGTAGGCTACCGCATGTTATTTTTTGCTTTTCCACGAGACTAGGTTACCATCAATGAACATATAATAGCTAGTAGTAGACTGACAATCAAGAGCATTTCCAGCCCAATCAGAATTGGTATAACCCACAATGTTAGAGTGCCCATTTTTATTCATTACAATCCCACGACCTATTGTTCCCTTCAAATGTTGCAAGAATACATTTCACCATACTCAAATGATAAATGATTGGTGCATGCATATGTTGACTGATAAGACTTATAGCAAATGGGATTATGATCGTGTGATAGTTAAATAGATAAATTTTTCCACAAGTTGCTGATAATAATTAGGCAAATCAAGAGTTCTTCTCGTCAAATCAAGTTTCATTTTGCTATCTAGAAGAGTAGTTGCAATTTTAATATGTAGCACACCAGCATCTTGAAATAAATCTATAATATATTTAAGCTGATTAAGAAAAAGCCCTTTGTTAGAAGTGACTATTTCAATATCAAAAAAGTACTTTAAGGAACTAAGGTCCTTAATGGGAAAATGATGTTGGAGATTCTTCTTCAACTGATCAATAGTATCAACACTATTTTCAGTGATAATAAGATCATCAACATAAATACATACTATTAGTTTGTTATCCCTTCCAAGTTGGATATATAATGAGGAATCAGGAGAACTTTTTGAAAAAACCAAGAGCTTCAAGAGTATAACTTAAT